CCTCATCCAGGCCCTAGTCGTGGTGCCCATCCTGGTCATGGCACTGGTCCAATCCTGGCTCAGTTACTGGCCTGAGCTTCAATCCCACTCCCAGCCCTGGTCTCCATCCTGCTGCTGGTCCCAGCCCTGGTTCTAATCCTGGCCATGCTGCTGCTCCCAGGCCGGGTCCTGGTCCTGATCGTTGTCCTGATCCTGGCCCAGATGCTGGTCCTCATCCTGGCCCCAGTCCTGGTCCCCATCACAGCCCTGGTCCTGATCCTGGTCCCGATCCTGGTCCCAGCTCCAATCCGCATGCCAGTCAAAGCCCTGGTCCCCATCCTGCTGCTGGTCCCAGTGCTGGCCTTGGCCTTGGTGCTTGTCCTCATCCTGGCTCCAGGCCTGATCACAGACTTAGTGTTGGTCCTGGTTTTGGTCCCATCCCTGGTCCTGATCCTACTGCTCCCAAGCCTGATCCCATCCCTGGTCCCCAGTGCAGCCCCTCCCTTGGCTGGTGACTGACACTCCCCACTCTCTTTCCAGACCAGCATGAAGAACATGGAGCGGGAGCTGGTCTGCCCAGTGTGCAAGGAGATGTACAAGCAGCCGCTGGCCCTACCCTGCACCCACAACGTCTGTCATGTCTGTGCCAGTGAGGTGCTGCTGCAGCATGGCTTCCTCTGCTGTGACCCCACCTCAGAGCCCTCCTCGCCTGCTGCCACCCCCTCCACCCGCAGCCCCCGCCTGGGACGCCGGGCAGTCCCCAAGCCCGACCGCCTCGACCGCCTCCTGAAGTCAGGTAGGATGGCCAGAGGGGATGGGGACAGTCACAGTCATATGGTCATTGGAGTTAGAAGGGACATCTGGAGCTCATCTAGTACAGCCTTCTGCTAGAGCAGGATCACCTACAGTAGATCCCACTGGAACATGTCCAGATGGGTTTGGAATGTCTGCAGAGAAGGAGACTCCACAGCCTCTCTGGGCAGCCTGCCCCAGGGCTCTGTCACCTTCACAGTTTTTCCTTCCTTATTTTTAACTTGACCCTCCAGTCCTCCGGCTTGTGCCTATTGCTCCTTGTCCTGTCACTGGGCACTGCTGAGAAGAGATTGGACCCATCCTCATGACACCCCCTAGAGATGTTGATAAGGGTTGATGAGATCCCCCCTTGGTCTTCTCCAGGCCGAATAGCCCCAGCTCTGCCAGCCTTTCCACATAGGACAGATGCTCCATTCCCTTCATCATCTTTGTGGCCCTGTGCTGCCCCCAATGCAGGAGGCCTGGGAGCTCCCAGCTCTCTCCTGACGCCCTCCCTGCTTCCCTCCCACAGGCTTTGGTACCTATCCGGGGCGGAAGCGGGGCACTGTGCACCCCCAGACCGTCAGCTTCCCCTGCCCAGCCTGTCAGCGGGATGTGGACCTGGGGGAGCGGGGCCTGGGCAGCCTCTTCCGCAACCTGACACTGGAGCGGGTGGTGGAGCGCTACCGCCAGACCATCAACATCAGCGCTGCCATCATGTGCCAGTTCTGCAAACCCCCACAGCTGGAGGCCACCAAGGGCTGCACTGAGTGCAAGTCTAGCTTCTGCAACGAGTGCTTCAAGCTCTACCACCCCTGGGGCACCCAGAAAGCCCAGCACGAGCCCACGCCCCCCACCCTCACCTTCCGCCCCAAGGTACAGCCCCTCAGTTGGGGTTTCCCTTCTCTGCTTGGGATTGTGTGGGTGCTGGGGGTGGGGATGTTGGACGGGAGTGCTGGGGACGGAGCCCTGCTGATGTCCCCTGTGCCCATGCAGGGGCTGATGTGCCCGGAGCACAAGGAGGAGGTGACTCACTACTGCAAGACCTGCCAGCGGCTGGTGTGCCAGCTCTGCCGTGTGCGGCGTACTCACACGGGCCACAAGATCACCCCGGTGCTCAACGCCTACCAGGCCCTCAGGGTAAGGGCAGCTGGCACTGCACTTGGGGCAGGGTTGGGGCTCAGTGGGGAGGAATCGGGAGCACCGGTGGGAGCCCTAGTGCAGTTCAGGGGTGTGGGGGCTGCCAGTGCCTTTGCTTCACCTCCTTCCTGGAGCACTGCATGCAGTTCTGGGTCCCCAACGTAAAAAGGAAATGGAGTCCAGAAGAGACCACAGAGATGATCCAAGGGCTGGAACCCCTCTACTCTGGAGACAGGCCAGAAGAATAGGGAGTGTTCAGCCTGGAGAAGAGAAGGCTCCAGGGAGACCTTAGAGCAC